TTTGTTTGGTTTAAAAAAAAAAAAAAAAAATCAATCTGTTCTATTACTGGCTGAACCTTCCAGGTCTTCAAGACAGTTGCCCCTCATTTGCAGCTTCCCTCCATGACCCTCCCTCAAACTTTTTACTCTGTCATAGGGGCTCGCTGCACTACTCTAGACTCGTGATAAATTTCTAGAGTCATTCTAGAGCTGTGAGAGTCATGAAAAAGTCCTAAAATCTATGCGTCGCTGGACTAGCTCTAGACTCTAGAAAAGATTAGCATGGCCTCTGCACATGGATGGACGGCCCAGATTGTGCTTTGCTTTTTTTTAATGTTCACTTTCTGCCAGCGGCGAGGAGTACTTCGAATGGGCCTTAGAGCATGTGGTATTCGAAGGACATTCAACCGAGCCTGGACCATTGCCATTAAACCACCAGTACTTGGCCCAGCCTGCACCATTGCCATTAAACCACCAGTACTTGGCCCAGCTATCGTTGCCAGGCCTGGAATCCCCCTGCGCGCCAATTTTGGCCGAAGCGCCAGGGTACCGTTTCAATTTTTTTTGGCTGGCGCTTCCAGCCATTGAGGTCCGGTACCCCACGGGACCTCAATGGGCCAAGTACTGGTGGTTAAAAAAAAAAAAAAAGAGCATGGCCCCTGGGGCTAGAACCCACCTGCGAAGTAGTACAGTAACTACGTGTCTGGCACTGTTTTTGTGTTTTTTGCAGAATAAAATAATCATTTTAAAATGGGAAAAGTCATTTGTTGTTGTTGAAAGTAAATGAAAAAGTGTTTCTCTGACAAGGATGACCCGAAAGAAGCATAGGCAGTAGTGCAAAGCAGTGATATGTTTTTTGCATCAAACCAATGAAACGGGATACCTACCAAGCAGCCCGTTATGGGCGGAGGTGCCCTGTCAGACGCACTCAATGCTTTCAATTTTCGCAATGTGAAAGTGTCATTTCTGGCTTTAAAAGAAGGAAACCGAAGCGGCAAAATCACCCCCCAACTTTGAAAACTATAAGAATGCAACTTCGCGCCCACTTCAATGCAGCAACGTAAAAGCATTTAAAAAAAATACAAATCCTATCATTGGAGGGGGCGGGAAAACGACGACCACCTCTCGTGGAAATCGCATGGGCCGTCTCTTCTGCAGGTGATCAACGGCAGCGATCACCCGAAAATAATGCCACACGTGATTGAAACGGAGGTTGCAATGTAGCACTACTTCGCAGGTGGGTCCTAGTCCCTGGACACACTTTTTTTTTTTTTTTTTTTGGACAAAATGCTCCAATGCAGGGAAAGCATCTCACGAGTCGATCACAAGAATTGAACACGCGACCTCCATCTTGGGAGGTAAACACTCAACCAAACGGCTAAGTGGACTGGGGTGAAAGGTAAGCCCCAAGATGAGCACGTAACCCCACCCCAGCACGGATTTCTCCGCGTCCCGGTGTACCCAGTCACACACACACTCAACCATAGGCGACACAGCCACCAGACAATGTTCAACCTCACTGCAGGTTGCTACGCAAGTCGATGCAGGGAAAGCATCACACGAGTCGATCACAAGAATCGAACACGCGACCTCCATCTTGGGAGGCAAACACTCAACCAAACGGCTAAGTGGACTGGGGTGAAAGTTAAGCCCCAAGATGAGCACTTAACCCCAC